CAAAGAAAGAACCCCTCTGCTTCTCCAATTGGGACTTTTCCCCTCCCATTTCCTGGTTCCAACAGGGGCAGAACGACAAGCAGAGTCTCTATGATTGGTCTAAAGAGGCTGCATGCAGAGTTTTCTTGCTCAGGGATTGAGAGCTGCCTTCTCTGCTGTAACACACATGGTGTTTTGAGTCTGCGATTCCCAGGCTGGACAGTAGAGGGCGTCCGGTTCTCAATCTCCTTGAGGTCCAACTATGGACCTCAAGTGTCTTAAATTGGCTTATGATGACCCCATGGGTTTAGTGGAGTTTTCTTAGGCAAGGAAGACTTGGAGTTTGGTTTTGACAGTTCCTTCCTCAAAAATAGAGTCACCAGCCTGTTATTTCTTCCGAGCTTGCAGAAGATGCTTTGTTTTGAACATCCAGTTCAGAATTCTGGGAATAACCTAGGTAAAAGGTAAGGTAAAGGTAGTCCCCTGACATTAAGTCCAGTCATGTCTGACTCTGGGGTGTGGTGCTCATCTCCATTTCTAAGCCAAAGAGCCAGCGTTGTCCATAGACACCTCCAAGGTCATGTGGCCGGCATGACTGCATGGAGCGCCGTTACCTTCCCGCCGGAGCGGTACCTATTGATCTACTCACATTTGCATGTTTTCGAACTGCTAGGTTGGCAGAAGCTAGGGCTGACAGCGGAAGCTTACGCCGTTCCCCGGAATCGAACCTGCGACCTTTCGATCAACAAGCTCAGCAGCTCAGTGCTTTAACCCACTGTGCCACCGGGGGCTCCCTGGGAATAACCTACATACAGTATATTCTGGCGTATAAGACTACTTTTTAACCCAAGAAAATCTTCTCAAAAGTCAGGGGTCGTCTTATACGTGGGTGTAGTCTTATGCATGGGAGTCGTCTTAACTCTATATTTTAACTGGAAAAGTTGGGGGTCGTCTTATACACCCAGTCGCCTTATATGCCGGAATATACGGTAAATAAAAATGTAATGTTCGTTTGTGGGATTAACTAAACTCAAAAACCACTGGACAAATTGACACCAAAGTTGGACAGCGTACACCTAACAATCCAATGTATGTCCTTCACTCAAAATGTTTTGATTTTGTCATTTGGTTGTAGTTCATAGAATCATAGAATCAAAGAGTTGGAAGAGACCTCATGGGCCATCCAGTCCAACCCCCTGCCAAGAAGCAGGAATATTGCATTCAAATCACCCCTGACAGATGGCCATCCAGCCTCTGCTTAAAAGCTTCCAAAGAAGGAGCCTCCACCACACTCCGGGGCAGAGAGTTCCACTGAGAAGGTCCTGTCTTGCTGTCCCACCAAGAAAGTCCTTTCTTGTGGTCCCACCGAGACGCGTCCTAGTTTCCAAGGAACAGAAAACAAGCTTGCTCCCTCCTCCCTGTGGCTTCCTCTCACATATTTATACATGGCTATCATATCTCCTCTCAGCCTTCTCTTCTTCAGGCTAAACATGCCCAGTTCCCTAAGCCACTCCTCGTAGGGCTTGTTCTCCAGACCCTTGATCATTTTAGTCGCCCTCCTCTGGACACATTCCAGCTTGTCAATATCTCTCTTGAATTGTGGTGCCCAGAATTGGACACAATATTCCAGGTGTGGTCTAACCAAAGCGGAATAGAGGGGTAGCATGACTTCCCTAGATCTAGACACTATGCTTCTCTTGATGCAGGCCAAAATCCCATTGGCTTTTTTTGCCGCCACATCACATTGTTGGCTCATGTTTAACTTGTTGTCCACGAGGACTCCAAGATCTTTTTCACACGTACTGCTCTCGAGCCAGGCATTGTCCCCCATTCTGTATCTTTGCATTTCATTTTTTTCTGCCAAAGTGGAGTATCTTGCATTTGTCACTGTTGAATTTCATTTTGTTAGTTGTAGTTCTTGGGATTTATAGTTCATCTACATTCAAAGAGCATTCTGAACTCCACCAATGATGGGATTGAACCAAAGGCGACACACAGGACTCCCTTGACCAACAGAAAAGTCTAGAAGGGTTTGGTGGGCATTGACCTTGAGTTTGGGAGTTGTAGTTCATCTACATCCAGAGAGCACTGTGGACTCAAACAATGATGGATCTGGACCAATCTTGGCACAAATACTCAATATGCCCAAATGTGTACACAGATGGAGTTTGGGGGAAATAGACCTTGACATTTGGGAGTTGTAGTAATTGGGATTTATAGTTCACCTACAATGACAGAAATTTCTGTACCCCACCAACGATAGAATTGTTCCAAACCTCCCACACAGAACCCCCATGTGGGCCACAGCAACACGTGGCAGGGGACGGCTAGTCTATATAAATAAAAATGTAATGTTCGTTTGTGGGATTAACAGAACTCAAAAACCACTGGACAATTGACACCAAATTTGGACACAAGACACCTAACAACCCAATGTATGTCCTTCACTCAAAAAAATAGATTTTGTCATTTGGGAGTTGTAGTTGCTGGGATTTATAGTTTTTAAATATTTTTAAAAACTCAACCTGGGGGTCGGGACCCCTGGGGGCCTTGCGAGGGGGTGTCATAGGGATCACCAAAGACCATCAGAAAACACAGTGTTTTTTGTTGGTCATGGGGGTTCTGCGTGGGAAGTTTGGCACAATGCTATCATTGGTGGGGTTCAGAATGCTCTTTGATTGTAGGTTAACGAAAAATCCCAGCAACTACAACTCCCAAACGTCAAGGTCTATTTTCCCCAAACTCCACAACTGTTCACATTTGGGCATATTGAGTATCCGTGCCAAGTTTGGTCCAGATCCACCATTGTTTGAATCCACAATGCTCTCTGGATGTAGGTGAACTACAACTCCAAATTCAGGGTCAATGCTCATCATACCCTTGCAGTATTTTTTGTTGGTCATGGGAGTTCAGTGTGCCAAGTCTGGTTCAATTCCATCATTGGTGGAGTTCAGAATGCTCATTGATTGTAGGTGAACTAAAAATCTCAGCAACTACAACTCTCAAATGTCAAGGTCTATTTTCCCCAAACTCCACGACTGTTCACATTTGGGCATATTGAGTATGAACTGTTTGTGGGGGGTATAGGATTGAAAAATCAATCCTATACCCCCCACAATTACAGTTGTGATGTAGCAACAAAAATAATTGTATGGTTGCGGTCACCACAACATGAGGAAGTGTATTAAGAGGTCATGGCATTACGAAGGTTGAGAACCACTGTTGTCGGGAAATCCTGGCTTAATCTGTTCTCACTTATTTGTCTTTTTTTCACAATTCACAGTTTAATTTGGCTCTAGGACCAATAGTTTTCTCTTTTATAATGTGTAGAAGTTTTCCCCTGCATCATGATAAAAATTAGTCTTTTTGGGTTGTTGTAGGTTTTTTCGGGCTGTATGGCCATGATCTAGAGGCATGATGGCGAACCTATGACACGCGTAGCCATTTTTGATGACACGCGGCCACATGCAGCCACATGCAGCCACATACACAGAAGAATGGGGCTGCATCCTGAGAAGGACATTTCATCCTCAGCTCCTGCACCAGCATTTTTCTATAATGCCGAGATATATGACATTATAGAAAAAAGCAGGTAAGTTAAATAATTAGTTTTTGGTTTATTAAATACAGTTATATATTACAATAATATATTTTTGTTATATTGGTTTTTTTCTCGAAGTGACACCCGACCTGAGTTATGCTCAGTTTTTTGGCGAGTTTTGACACACCAAGCTCAAAAAGGTTGCTCATCACTGGTCTAGAGGCATGCTCTCCTGATGTTTCGCCTGCATCTATGGCAAGCATCCTTAGAGGTAGTGAGGTCTGTTGGAATTTCAATTTCAACAGAAAGGAGGAAACAATGAAAATGAACGAAATATGGCTACCAGTATTAAAAAAAACCTCTAAAATTAGAACAGCACAACAACAGAGAGGAAACCAACAAACAAGGACATCTAATCACCTCTCAACAAAAGATTGCTCTAGGCACAGTCAGGCCATTGTATGCTAATCAAGGTGATCAGTTGAAACATTCACACCTATCTCCAGCAGACAAAAGTCCTTTGTCTCACCCTGGTCATTCCACAGATATATAAACCCTTTTTCCTAGTTCCAATAGATATCACTACCTCTGAGGATGCATGCAGGCGAAACGTCAGGAGAGAATGCCTCTAGACCAGTGGTTCTCAACCTTCTTAATGCCGTGACCCCTTAATACGGTTCCTCATGTTATGGTGACCCCCAAACCATAACGTTATTTTTCTTGCTACTTCATAACTGTAATTTTGCTACTGTTATGAATCATAATGTAAATATCTGACATGCAGGATGTATTTTCATTCACTGGACCAAATTTGGCACAAATACCTGATATGCCCAAATTTGAATACTGGGGCTGGCGGGGGGATTGATTTTACCATTTGGGAGTTGTAGTTGCTAGTTCACCTACAACCAAAGAGCATTCTGAACTCCACCAGTGATGGAATTGAACCAAACTTGGCACACAGAA